AACAGGTTTGGCTTTTGGTTTACAACAAGGGCTGAAGTTACAGCCTTCGGGGGTTTCAGACACTACTTCAATCAGAAATACAAAAATTCTGACATTAAAAATCCTCCATCCAAATTTAACAGCTAGGAAACTACTTTACTAGTTATGATCTGAAATCTAATGCAACAAAAACCTATCTCAAGTACGTGATATATTATGGTAGATTCATGTTCTCTCAATCATCTTCTCTTTGCTGTTCTTAAGACTTGCTCTTTTTATGAAGGGAATGCCATTCAAACCCTGTCTTTCAATTCTTCCATTTTGTATATATGAACCTCAGCAGCACTAAGTTATACATTTAATTTTGCCCTTATCTGAAATGCTGAAACCAGCATAGTGCTTGGCTCCCTATGCTATGAAGAGTCACTAAAAAAGATACATTCTCTAACTTCCTAAGAGGGTACACAAAAGTATATTCAATATTAGGAACATAGAACTAGGCAGTGTTCATATATATATATAAGGGAATGAGAATGGTTTTCAGAGACAGGTATTTCCACAAACGACTTGATTGCTAATATGACTGCATTAGTACATGGCACCAAATAGAATGTCAAAAAACCAATGTGATGTCTTCCCTATTTATAGCAAAAGTTTTCCTGAGAAAATTAATAATTTTCTCTTGAAAGTAATAAAATAGAAACACTCTTCATATCAACAAATTTCCCATTTCAAGTAAATGTCTGTTTTGTTTTGTTCTCTTTTTGTTACTGTTAGGCATTTAAATATACAAAGGTGTTAATGAAATTCTTACAAAACAATGAATCTGCTGAGTGTCTTCACCGCACAGTCCAAACTTTGGAAATATCTTCTACATAGTCACCATAGAAAAGGACGGTCAACTCTCACCTCTTCAGAAAATGAACACCTAGTGTGAAGGAAATTCTCATGCTCCTTCTTCCAGCCTTGTTAGTCACACCACTGATCATTCATGGGTTGATCTCAAATCGAAAAAACCAAGCCCACTGCTAAGGAGTCATTTCTGACTCAGCAACCCTACAGAACAGAGTAGACCTGGCTGATAGGGTTTCCAAGGCTGTACTCTTTATGGAAGCAGACTGCCACATCTTTCTCCAGTGAAGTAGCTGGTGGGTTCTAACTGTAAACCTTTCGGTTAGCAGTTGAGCACCAAATCACTGTGCCACCAAAGCTCCTTTTATGGGTTGATCAGGCAACTTGAAATGAACTCATACATCTATCAATGTTATAAGTTAGTCATCACTCAGTAGGAGAGGAGGTCCAAAGCTTCTGATGTCAAGGAAGCTTAGGGATTATCGTGAATTTTACGTCTCAATGGAGAGTTGGCTGGCATTCACATACAGGAAGTACAGTACAGTACACACTGACCTTGTTTGAAGTCAAACTAATTTAAGGCAGTACTGTTCCTTACATACATTGCTACGATAAAGTACAGGGCTCATCAGAAAAGGGACTCAGAAAAATGAGATTTTCCTAGTTTACCCTTTCCTTCTTGACTTCTCCAGAACTACATTTCAGCGTTTCTAATGACAGTTGTTAAATGCCAGCAGCAACAACAGCCTCTGACTATTTTTTAGTCTTACATGTATCATCACGGATAAGAGCTTCTTCTACCAAGAATTTAGATGATAGTGTCCCAGGCAGCATTATCAGGACAGTTTCCGGTTTGCTTCTCCTTGCCCACATTGCATATTTTGGGCTAAGAGAAAAAAAACAAAAAACTATCAATAGTAACAAAAGCAAATATGGCTTAAGACTCACAGGCACCTCCAGATATGAGGAGAAAATAGGACCCTATTACACAGTCACTTTTCTGACAGCAATAAGTTAGGGACAAATTACTTAAATTTTTTTTTTTCTTTTTGCCAGAACATCAGGTTTTTAATTTTTTACAATTATTTCTAAAAAGTCTAGGTTATGAGAATATGACACAGGATGTACAGTGAAATTTAACTGAATACTGTGCCATTTTAATATTAACATTCCCTACACAAATACTGTTTTTCCCCCCAAAAAAACTGGCTACATGCTCTACTCTGTGGTTCTGCCCTTCAGAAAGTTGTTCACACAAGGATCTCACTCTATTATTGTGCTTAAGATCTTACAGCCAATCACCACAGACATCTTTCAAGAAAAGCATCATTGAATAAATGAATAATCTTTGTATTCCCCAAAGAGATTTTTATAAGAGGCAACACTCATTAAATACCAAGGCTCTAAAAAGTTAACCAGTTACGTGGTAAACTGAATGAATGCACCATATAACATCAGGTGTTTCTAAGGAACAATTTGGCACAAGAGAAAATTTTGACAGTATTAAAGAAAAATAACTCTCAGTTAAAAGTAAATTATTTTATACTAAGCTTTCTTTACACTGAGGAAAAGGGGTGGACAACTATCAGCAATGAATTTATTCACCATGCAGCTCCGCTGCAGGGTACAGGAGGGGAATAAAGGGGCAACAGGTCACATTTAGAATTTTCTAGAGTGAGTTCAGTGTTACACAAGGCCCAGGGTCACATATTTTGGAATATCTAAATCCAACTGGCCACTGCCATTCTGAAAAAGGTTTTCTTCCTGAGAGCATATAAATGTAATTTTTCTCATTTAGATGCTTCGATTATGATAAAAAATCATACAAATTGCACTTTTGTTTATGAGACACAATAATTCAATGGTTTGACAGTTACTTTCTAAATATCTCAATGTTCTTTTAAAGCATGCATGCCAGCTGTCTAGTCATTTAATAAATGTTTAACAATGGTTGGAACATTAGTCTCTCTTTTTTTTCTTTTTAAAGCCAGAACATTTCATCTGACTTTATCTAACCTTCCTTTCAGGCAGTAACTTACAAAAGTTAAAGGAAGAAAAAGGGAAGGTGTACAGGTCAAGGAGCCTCATCTTAAGGCAACATAACACATTGTGCTCATTTCAGGAATATAAGGTGTTAATGAGGCCTGGCCTCCATGGAAAAGAGGTACAGAAATAGAAATTATTTCAGAGGCCAGGCACATTGGTTTACATCAAAACAAGAAAGCATACAACATTGTGGGCCTGAAAACTAACTGCAGTGTTTCAGCAACACAACAGTAACATAGCAAACACCTTGACATTTATATAAACCAGACAAACTAAAAAGCAAACAGTGAAGAGTGATTAGCAGTTCATTAAAATACAATTGTTAGTTACTTTTACAGCCTCAAAGATAATTACTCCATTATATTGATGAGAAAACACAAGATTTAACTGGCTGAGTTTGAGTTTTGTCTCCTCATTCACAGGGAAATAATTGCTGCGATACTCTTTAAAACGTGTTTACTTTTTTAAAAAAATCAAAAACTAGTATTTTGAAAGTCTAAAAAAAAGTTAACAACCAAATTCTCAACACAAATGTTGAACTGGATGCCACAAGGGAAATACCACCTTTGGTCAGAAACTCACTAAGACAGCTGAAATACTACTTTCTGTTAAGTATTAAGTGGTCTGATAATTTTTGAACAAAATATCTTCAGTTAACATTGTACAGTAATAAATATGGTAGGATGAAGAACGTGAGAGGCAAGAGAAATGCAGAACTTTTTTTTTATGTAAAACAGATCAGTCTATAAGATAGAAAAATAAACATTTATAAAATAAAAATATTGCAAATGACGTTGCCCATTTGCCTAATTATGAAATAAAAATACACTGCATTTTTTTTTTTCCTTTACAACTACCATAAAAACTGTTAAAAATCACAAGGCAGGCAAAGAAAAATATAGCATTACTGTAAGTCCCCACGGCCTGAGCTTTGGGTACTGATACCGGCCCCTGGAATTTGACTTAAGGCTGTGGCCTCCATCCTCCATTTTGTTCCTCCTTTCAATTCAGATACAGGTTTTTCATCATTAATTTCACTGTAGCCTTTCAAAGTCTTTTATTTTTAGGATCTTGTTTCTTCTAGATTAGCATTTCCCCAAAATTTAACTCTTAGATGCCATTTCACCCAAGTTCATAGGATTCAAAACATGATGGAAACCAAATATCTTTCTCCAAAATGAGAAGTCCAAATATACTCAGAGAAACTATTCCAAATGGGTTCCCAGTAGGAAGAGAAGGGATTAACAACATTCTCCCTAGTCACCTATGTTTCTTTCCTAACTGAAAACCATACTGAAATACCAAAAATATCAGATGTAAACAATGAAAGCTAAAAGCAAATCAGCTGAAGGGATTTATCTTACATTTGGTTGCTATGTATGTTAAATAAGTAGTACAGGAAAATAAGCATCTCCATGAGGTTAGCAACTAAACAAAGATTCTATATTTCTTATAAAAGGGCAGCCTTAAAGGTCTTGTAGAAAGAAATCTAATACCCATGTATCATTAACAAATATATAGAACAAAACTCTTGGCTAAAGAACCACTTTATTAACTTTAACCTCATGTTGAATTACTCTACTTACGAACAGGTGAGCAAACATTTTTGAAAGGTGGCCAAAAATATAGTATGTCTTTCAAGCAAGAGGATAACATCCACCTGTGGTCCAGGGTGACCCAGGGCATCATCACTTACATTCTACCAAATCCCATTTCTCCTTGCTCCGTAAGTACAAACAAGAGAAGGCATAGTTTTTCATTTTCAGTTGACTTTGCATAGTTATCAGTTAAACTTCCATAGAGTTAAATTTTGGCAATAAATACTAATAAATGGCCCAATGCCCAGAGGCATCAGGAAGCCTATTTGGGAAATAACAGCAGAGAAACTGTTAGAGAATGACATCTAGACCCATTTTTCTGGGAGGACTTAGAAGGATATGCAAAACCTCCACAGTCCATGTAGTCAGAATAACATAATTCAACTACTCCAGGTGTTTTTTTGTTTTTTAATGTTTTTTTTTTTTTAATACTTTATGGTTATTTTTTTTTTTCCTTTTCCTCAAGAGTACAAAAACCAAAAGGCTCTGTCCTTCAATATAAACGCTAATGCACCAAAAAAAGCTTTCTTTTATTGTTTATGCATTGCATCCAAACATACTTTATTTTGACCATTCTTCATAAAGTTCTAATTGCTTGCTGTATTAAAGCGTAGTCCCTAAAATCCAATACTCCAACTCTAACAAAAGTGGCATCTTTTAGAGCTCCCAGACACCATATCCCAGGATAGATATAAAGCACAAAGGTGGCCAGTATTCAGAAGCTAGATTTTCTTGCACTGCCCAAGTGATCAGGAATAACCAAGGCATTTGAAATGAATTAAAATTATTTGTGGTCAGAAAAACACTTGAGGATAAAACCTAGGAATGCAAATATATGAGGAAAAAATAAATGCAGAATGCAATCTGTATCATCTACTAATATTTGCTACAGTGAGTCTGAAATTTCAAGGCAGAATCCGAGGTTTTTACTGCTTGTAGTGGAAACCTGGGGAAGGAAGGAGAAAAAGAAAACACAAGAAAACAAATAATTAAGGAAAAATCTTTAAACTGTCTTAGATAATTTTTCTACCTAAGTAATTTATCTTTATTTTTACATTTTTCAAGTGCTTCCTGTTTTCTTAACTCTTGATTGTAAAATACTTATATACAGGATCAGTCTTTTATTTTAATAATATTATATATCAAATGTATGTCAAGAAACCTACCACAAAGCAAGGTATGCATAGTTTGAGACAGTGAAATATGAGCTACTTCCAGTCAGGGCTTCATAATGGTTCAAAGTGGTTTAGTCATGTATGACAAAGTGAAACCAGAACAGATAGCAAATTTTTAAAATTTGGTGATCCAAAATGATAACCAGGACGGAAAAACTGGGAGACTTGGAAGAGGTATAATGAGCCCTTTCAGGAGCCTGACGCATGAGACTGGACTACTAGCAGGTCTGTGGAGGGTGACACACATTCAAGGCGGCGGGTCTGGCTTCCACCTTTGAGCTGGACACTGCCATTTCCAGCTCTGCTCAAAATCCAGCAAGTAAGAGATATGGTTGTTATGCAGTGCGAACACTCCCCATTTTCTCAAAGGAAATTACATGGCTAGCAAGGCTTCAACCTGTAATTTTTCCCGTTTTGGTTATCGTTCTGGTTCACCGAAATTTTAAAAATTCAAGCCTGTTCTGGTTTCACTTTCTCAGGCATGATTGAACAAGGAAGAAGTGGTTTGAACCTCTGCCTCCAGTCAAATGAAGATGGTGAAAATGATGGAAATTGTGATGGGTGGGCTGTTTTGGTAAACCATTCGTGACAACCAATTAATCCCATGTTTTCAATTCTGTCCATTGTCTTATTCTTAACATTGGTGAACTTGAGAATCATGGGAGGAAGGACGGCGAGGAAGGGGAAATTATACCAATGCCTGGCACCACGTACCCAAAGTTCTAATGTAACTAGTTTGAAGTGACAATGTGCATTAACATTTTTAAACAATGGCAGAAAAAGGCATTGAAAGGAATTTGGAAAGACTATTATTAGATCTGGGAAAGGATTATAAAATATTTCTCCTAAGGAATCTTCAAAAACCGTAACAACAAATAAACTTCATTAATTAGTAAACCATAATATTTGTAAAGTCCACTTCAATCTGCAAACCACTTTTACATTTTGTATCTTATTTAATGCTGCCTCACAACCCTGATACTTATTATTTGCATCATCTCTATTTTTTAAATAGGGAAACTAATGTAAGAAGCTACTTTTGCATTTTTTTCATTTATGACTGTCCTAAAAATACACATAGCAAATGCCTATCTTTAGAAGAGTAGCTACTGACCAACTTTTTCTCCTATATTAAAGATCTGGTCCAATTAGATCTCCATATTTTCCTTATCCCATTTTTATTTTGTACAAAAGTTTTATGTGATGTGTGTGCTGCGTGTGTGTGTTTATCTAATTAACACAGTCATGAGAGATGGGAAACAAGAACCAGTAATATAGAAAAAGTGGCCCAGTGGTTCTAAATATTTTGCGGGGGTAAGGTGAAATGTGTATGTCACAATCCCCCTTTAAGAATCTTTACAGAGTAAAATGCAAATACACTGACAATCTTGCATTCAGTTTAAAGTGTTTTGTTTTACTTTACTTTGTTTTCTGGTTTTTTAATTTTTTGAAGGGTAGGAAGAAGGATGAAGATTAAGAATCTGCTGAAAGGAAGGATAACATTTTTCTACTCTAATGATCTTTAAGACAGCATTTGATTTTTTTCACCATAGCACAAAGATAACAAAGATCATCAAACATGACTATATATGATCTTACCTTTATGAGAGGATTCTGATTTTGAGAAATGACGTGTGGCACTATGCTGGTTTGTAAAGTGAGTGTAATCTTCAGCATCTGTCATGGCAGGGGGTGGAGGCCTGAAGGAAAACCAGAATTTAAAAAGATATTCTAACAGTGTTTACAATTCCATCTTTCCTTGGAACACGTTAACAACATTTTCTACAGAAATGCAAAGCCGGAATGCTTTAGAATTTGTTCCTAGCCAGGTGCACCACCTTTGATAAATTATTGTATCTTGTTGCTTTTTTGTTAAAATCTCCAAAAAACCTCTGCCATCAACTCGATTCTAACTCATAGAGAACCCCACTGGGCATCCAAGGCTATAAATCTTTACGGAATTAGACTGCCTCATCTTCCTCTCACGGGATAGCTGGTGAGTTTGAACAACTGACCCTGATTAGTAGCCAAAAAGCCTTACCCCGTACACCACCAGAGCTCCTTTATTATGATATATGTAATTCAATTAAAAAAAAAAAAAACTATTTTCTTAACACCTAATTCATGTTAAGCATTGTGGTAAGGGCTGGAGAAACAAAGATTAAGGAAATCAGTAAGAAATTTATTTTGCTAGGTTTTACCAAGAAAAACAAAGAAGAAAGGAAAGGATAGAAGAGAATGTAACTTTTAAGCAAAAGTGAAGAAGGGAAAAGGATGAAGAACGGAAGGAAAGAAGGAAGAAAAGAAATGAGTAAGAGCAGCAGGAAGAGTGGGTCTTTGGTCAACAACATACACAATTTTGTGATGAGCGACGTTCTTTATCCACTAGGTGGCAAAGCAGTTCTTCAGTGATGGAAAGGGCAGTAATACATCAGTAATTTTTCACATAAAAGGCAGTGAAAAATAAAATAAAAAAAACACTGGAAAAATTTTACTCCAAATGTTTTATCATTTTAATCACTTAACACAGATTTCTGCAAACATTTGGCATTGATGAAGATGGAAAACATAACCTCACAAGTGCTTCACTTCTCTGTTGCTGTTTCCTAAAGGTGTACTCACATTTAACACTGCAGTGTGGAACCAGATGAGGTGTAAGAGGTTTGTCACACATATAAGCCTGTCGTAGAATAGTCTGTGTAATTATATACATAATCTAAAAGATAAGTGTTCTGAGGTTTAGAAAGTTATGGTGACTTGGTACAATGGCCTTTGTCATAAAGGAGTAAAGGCAAATGTTTTCAAATTTCTCAATGTTTTGTTTGCTCCCAAGTAATGAAATCTCTCCCTAGGTATTCAACATCCAGAAGCAGTCCACATAGGATATAAACACACACACACGTACATGTGCATATATATATATGTATATATGTACATGTATATACCCACCAGATACTCCTCAGAAGGAAGGTTGGGCGATCTACTTCTGTAGTGATACTGCCCCGGAAACCCAAGGAGGGGTTGCTATGAGTTGGATCCAACTTGATGGCAGTGGGTTTATGTGTGTGTGTGTGTGTGTGTATCACCAAAAAAACTAAACTCACTGCCACAGAGTCGGATCCGACTCAGTGACCCATATATATACATACATATACATACACGTATATATATATATACACACACACACGTGTGTGTATGTGTGCATATCTTTACTGCTGTGGAGTCGATTCAATTCATAGTGATTTCTAAGGTGGTATCTCAATGGAAGTAGATTGACCAGACTTCCTTCTGAAGAGTGGCTGGTGGATCTGAGGGAGCTCTGGTGACATAGTACCTAGGCATTTGACTACTAACCAGGAGGCTGGAGGTTCAAACCTACCAGCCACTCCTTGGAAGGAAGATTGGGCAATCTCCTTCCATAGTGATGTTGTGATAGTGATACTGCCTTGGAAACCCAGGGAGGGGTCATTATGAGTTGGATCCAACTTGACGACAGTGAGTTGGTTTGGGTGTGTGTGTGTGTGTGTGTATATATATATATATATATATATATATATATATACACATACATATAGATAGATAGATAGATAGACAGATAGATAGATAGATGGGAGCTTTAGTAGCATAGTGCCTAAGGCACTTGACTGCTAACCAGAAGGCTGGCAGTTCAAACCCACCAGCCACTCCTCAGACCGAAGGTTGGGCAATCTACTTCTGTAGTGACATTGCCTTGGAAACCCAAGGAGGGGTCGCTATGAGTCAGGTCCAACAGCATATAACAACAATAACAAATACACACACACACACACACATATAAAGGAGCTCTGGTGGCACAGTGCCTAAGGCATTGACTGCTAAGCAGAAGATAAGTGGTTCAAACCCACCAGCCACTCAGCAGAAGGAAGATGAGGCAATCTACTTCTGTAAAGATTCACCTCCTTGGAAACCCAACAGCAGTTGCTATGAGTTGGAATCAAGTCGATGCCAGTAGGTTTTGTTGGCTGATTGAGAGACAGACAGACAGACAGATAGATAGATAGATATAGATAGATAGATCCACACACATATATTGAGGACTGTGCTATGAGCTTTATATAGATTATCTGATTAACCTCTGAAGAGAAGTCTGCATGGCTGCTATCATAAGATTATTTTAGGATTAGATTATATAAGGTATACGATCTACCCAAGTTTACAAAGATCCTAACTGTCAAAGCTCAACTCTACTGGACATCAAATCCAGTGCTATTTACTACTATACATGCTCTGCTACTTAGGTGCATTATTTTTATCAGGAGCAACATCTCCCCCCAACACAGTGTTATAGGCCAGTACTTTCAAATGGTATATGGGCATATATTTTTATATTTTCATGCATTTTTATACATATATAATTAAGGTGAGCATAACAAGTAGTGTGGCATTTTTCTTGTTTTCCTCTTTGAAACGTGCTACAAAATGTTAGAAATTAAATATATAAATGCAGTATTTTTCTTTAATTATTAACTAACATTTTTGATTTTACTTTAAAAAGTACCAAAGACCGGTAGGGAGAGTTGAAGCATAACAATCTGATTCTAAAATCAAGAAATTTAGCCTTAAAAAAATCAGGTGGCTAAAGAAGTAACATAGGCACAAGGACACAGGGTTGGTAACCATCAGGGCAGCAGAGTCGATTCCTTACTCTTTCACTGGCTTCACCGGGCTATCAAAACTCAGAAAGACAAAAGCTCTTATAAGAACAGAAGTGGACACTTAACCTAAACCGTGTGTATTGGGAAGGCTTTCTCAACAGTAAAAATCAGATTATCCTAATATATCAAAAACCAGAAAGACAAAAGCTGAGCAGGATTCTAAAAAAAAAAAAATCACGGTTAATGTTTCCCCACCAACTCAGTATCAAGGAAAAGGATGGTAAAGTAACAAAACAGAACACAGGATACCAAGCAACTCTCTAGGATCCACATAAGGATATACAAATCAACCTGAAATGCCTCAGTTCTCTTGATATGCTGTTTTGTGTAGTTTTTGGTGACATAGAGAACACATTTTAGCTTAATTGCTTCTAGGAGTCCTACAAAATTATTTTGTTGCTGTGGAGACAGCTGGGAGGAGCTCTGGTGGCATAGTGCCTAAGGCTTTTGACTGCTAACCAGAAGGCTAGTGGCTCAAACCCATCAGCCACTCCTTGGAAGGAAGATTGGGCAATCTACTTCCATAGAGATGTTGTTGTTGTTATTTGCCATTGAGTCGGACCGACTCACAGCAACCCTTCCTTGGGTTTCCGAGGCAGTATCACTACGGAAGTAGATCGCCCAACCTTCCTTCCAAGGAGTGGCTGGTGGGTTTGAACCGCCAGCCTTCTGGTTAGCAGTCAAGTGCCTTAAGCACTATGCTACCAGAGCTCCCATAGAGATGGTTGCCTTGGAAAACCCAAGGAGTCGCTATGAATCGCAATCGACTCAAAGGCAGTGAGTTTTTTTGTTTTTTTTTGGCTTGGGAACAGTTACTTCAAAATAAGGGTATTCATATATAAAAATGAAAAAATCTTCTTAACCAAAAGATGTTCAATAGTTTTTGAAGTATTAGAATTGCCCGATTCTCACTGTTCTTATGAAGTGAAATGCATCTTTATGTTGAAGAAATAGCTAAATAGCCTTCATTATTCAATTATAAAGTTACTTCTTCAAAGAGTCTTCCAAAGACACCCAGACTAGGTTAAGTGTCTACATAAGCTTTTGTAGCTGCATGTACTTTTCACCCATACCACTTAACATGATTGTAATAGTTATTTGTATAATTATTTGTTTAGATTATAGACTTTCTGAGAGCAGGAAACAGTTCTTTCTTGTGAAGTGCTGTTTATCCCCGCTCTGAGTACTCATTAGGGTGCTCAATAAATATGTGATGATTAAGTAGAGATAAATGTATTTCATATTTGTAAGACTGTTATAGGAACTGAACAAGATTTACAAAATTTTTCTAAACAAAAAATGAAAGTAAAATACCAAGCAGTATTACCAGCATACATAATTCAATAGATAAAATAATTTGGTACTTAGGTTGAAACTTTTTCCAATTACAAATGTTGAGAATAAGCAACTTCTTGATAAATGGAGAAAAGATGATGTTGTCAAGGATTTCATTTTTATTGGATCCACAATCAACACCCATGGAGGCAGCAGTCAAGAAATCAAATGATGTACTGCAACTGGGCAAGTCTTTTAAAGTGTTAAAGATCAAGACAACTAGATGCTCCAGACCCAAGCCATGGTTATTTTCAATTGTCTCATATGCATGCAAAAGCTGGACAATGAGTAAGAAAAACCAAAGAAAATCTTATGCCTCTGAATTATGGCCTTAGCAAAGAGTACTGAATATATCACGGGCTGCCAAAAAAACATAATCTGTTTCTACGAAGTGCAGCAAGAATGCTCCTTAGAAGCAAGGATGGTGACACTTCATCTCACATACTTTGGTCACGTTATCAGGAGGGACCAGTGCCTGGAGAAGGACAGTAAAAAAAGAGGAAGAGCCTCAATGAGATGGAGTGACACAGTGGGCTTAAACACAGTAATGACTGTGAGGTTGGCACAGAACTGAGCAGTGTTTTGTTCTGATATTCACAGGGTCGCTATGAGTCAGAACTGACTAGACGGCACATAACAGCAGAGTTAATTCAGATTGCCAACTAGTTCTCTCTTTCCTTAGAAAGAGTAGAAGATATTTTATTAAGTGAAGAAATTGGATTGTTGACTATGAATGGTATAAGCTCTGCATAAGGATTTGTTTCTCCTCTACTACACTGAAGTAAATTGAACAAAGAACCTGGCCTAAGAAGCTCCACATAGTTCAATTCTTAAAACCATCTCTCCTTAAAATCCTCTCTGCAAATGGTTAACTAAACCCCTAAACCATGATTAACTGTAAAAAAGAGAATCATAGATACTATCCAAAAAGCTAACATGCTGATGTTAGTTGTACAGGATATCCATAATTTCATAGGCTTTAATTTTAAACTATGAAAATTTTTCATAAAAATTGTATTTGCTTTTATCATATATACAATTTTTCTGGAGGTATTATTTAAAGAAAAGTGTTCCTCTCAAGCCAAAAGAGACTTCTGTTCAACCAGCTGAAAGTCAGTCACATTTTACTATCTCATTGATAACAGCCACTTTTAATATAGGATCATTTGATTATTCATCCTTTTAATACACTAAATATTTTAGCACACCTATTACAGTACAGAAACTTGGTTTCAACTCTAATAAGCCTTTTAAATACCATTCTAGAAGTTCTATAATATCAGCAGTCCAAGTTTATTAGTGGTCCAAAGAGCTGAAAAACTTTGAAGATTACAAAATAATCCTAAAAATTATTTGAATTCACTTACTAAAAAAAAAAAAAAAAACAGCATAATAGCACACTTATTTACCTACTGAGAACAGATTAAAAAAACACCAAACCCACTGCCACTGAGTTGATTCCAACTCACAGCAACCCCCACTGGGTTTCTAAGACTGTAAACCTTCACGGAAGTAGACTGCCTGATTTTCCTCCTGTAGAGCAGCTGGTGAGTTTGAACTGCCAACCTTCTGGTTAGCAGCCAAATGCCTTAACTGCTATCCCACCAGACCTCCTGAGAGCAGATTAATAGCTTCTTACTTTATTTGGATACTGTAAGGATGTCAATAAAACTATAGAGTTCTAAAGTCACCTTTAACAAATGTGCAGCATGTGCTTAACAAATAGCTACAAGAGGAATCGATTTTATGTAACTAGAGATACAATAGGAGCTCTGGTGGCATAGTACTTAAGGCACTTGACTGCTAACCAGAAGGCTGGTGGTTCAAACCCACCAGCCACTCCTCGGAAAGAAGGTTAGGCAACCTACTTATAGTGATACCACCTCAGAAACCCAAGGAGGGGTCGCTATGAGTCAGATCTGACTTGACGGTAGTGAATTTGTTTTTTCTTCGGTTACAGACACTATACTATTGTCTTCAGAGCAAATCCAAACCTGATGTAATGTTCTGATGGATATTTCTTTGTCTTCTGAAAACCCATAAGTTTAGCAGAAGATGACTTTTTAAGGACACTAAGTATATTAACATCAACTAAGGAAGTCTGGTGGCTTCAACGTGGCAGTGAGTGGCAACAACAGTGTGCGTTATTTGAGAGAAAACTTCCATTTTAAGAATTAATTATTATCTTGTTAATGATTTCAAGACCTAAATTCAAGGTTTTAATAATTCAGTTTTCAAATGTTAGATTTAACATAACTTTGGTCTTTTTCAATTTAGTGTCCTCTTCTCTTCTATTCCAATTATATTTTCTCCTGAAAAATAACAGAAAGCAACTCTGGTGGCATAGTGCTTAAAGCATTTGACTACTAACCAGAAGGCTGGCAGTTCAAACCCACCATCCACTCCTTGGAAAGAAGATTGGGCAATCTACTTCTACAGTGATAAACTCACTGCCGTCGAGTTGGATCCTACTCATAGCGACCCCTTCTTGGGTTTCCGAGGCGGTATCTCTATGGAAGTAAGGGGTCGCTTTGAGTCGATTCCGACTCAATGGCAATATACAACAATAACAACAACAACAAAAATTATAGGGA